TATTCCACATCTTCTCTGATCACAGTTACGCAAATAGTAGATACAATAAAATAAAATCCAAAGTATGGGACAGAATCCTGGTCCAAAATCTACATTAAGAAGTCTTCTAAAAATAGCAGAATCGGAATTCTTATGCAAGCAATAATAAACAGTCGCATGGAAAGATTTTGAAAGTCCAGAAGCAATCCAGATCACGTAAAAAAACAAATATCAAAAAACAATACGCTTTCACAAGCATTATGCTCTAAGACAAGCAACGATAATGATAACAACAATTCGATGACGAAGCATGACAGTGACAGTTATAGTTTTTTACTAGAATTGTCGCAATACTCTTTTTGTATGGTGAAGATTATTTATTATGGTTGCATTATAATATTGAATAATAATGTTTCACGATCTTTCTTATAGATAATTAAAGCGTAAAGCGATGCAAAACAAACGAACAACATACTTGAAGTTGATATTATCACTAAAATCACTTAAAATAATAGGCTTAAAAGTCATGACGCTAAGCCATTATAAAAAAAAGATTATTTAATGTTTTAGTCAAATGTTTAATTTAATGTGACCCTTTATTAGGTTTTTTATTCCAGACTTAGATAACCCTCCTTAATAATTTGATAAATCTTTTGCTATTATTTTATTAACATTTCTGATGATGACATCTATAGACGCTAAAGATTTCCTTCCAGAAATATTTCGCCATTGTCCTTTGTATTTAAAAATGAATTGGTAACCAGGTTATTATGATCTTACTAATCCCCTATTCAGCATCCCCCAGCACTTACTTGTTTCTTAGTAGTACAGGGTCTTAAAGTAGAGAAGTACTTTTGCAGGTAAGGTAATAGCTATAATTATTCCGAAAATTATGTTGCAGATAACAATAGTTCGGTTACAAATAACAATATAGTGATGTTATACTGAATCAATTATTTTGTAACCAATTACTGAACAAGTGTTAGAAGAACAAATGTATGCGGTAACCCATAACATTAAGGTGGTTTATTTTTACACAACTGTTTTGTTGTCAGTTCTTTACATTAAGTACCTAATTAACTTGGGGCACTTTAGTAACTAGTAATACAAAAGTTAGCTTAAAAGTTAATCTTTTTGTAGAGCTATAGTTAAACTATTTTAACAAAACCGAGTTTGTGACTATAATTATGTAGTCACTATTTTTATGTAATAGGAAACAAAAAAAAATGTTATAAGTAACTCAACACTTTTTTCAGTGCATATACAACATGTTTCATGGACAGCTTTTAGATCTGATTTTAATACATCAAAGCGGTATATCTTAGCCCAAACTAGATGGTGTTTCGTCGTTTTATCACAGAGTTTCTATGGCCACCTTCCAGCTTCATGGTCTATCTCTGGATACCATACAGGACCAGAGTTCTTATAAAGACGATTGAAGGGGCCCAAAGTAGATAGGGTTGCGTCGTTTTATTACAGAGTTTCAATGGCTATCTCCTGGCTCCATAATAAAGGGCCGAGTTGTGTTATTCTTTTTCCGTCATACCGTTTCGTTCATTACCATTTTATTAGTTGAGAAAGATTCAATTTAAAGTGATAATGTTAGATAATAGCCTCCAGAAAGCTCCATATAAAAATAATATTATTGCATTGCCGGTCCTATTTAGATATGTACTTAGCATGCGTAGGATATTTCTGGTCAATTATCTAGTAACCGGAATGAACTAACGAATCCTTTTAACAATTTACCATCGATCAATATGGTTAACCAAAAAGTATTGTTGGACAACATGTAAAGCGGCCATCAAACAAAATCTACTTTATCTCCTCTACCGGACATAAATTGCATCGCATCAATTCCCGGTACACGAATATTGAATGTTCGATCTCAAAAGGCCTGTATTGTGTGCACGCTGATTGGGTCCTCAAACTCGATTGATGCAATGTACGTTATCATCATCCCAAAATTCAAAACGATCCGGAAACTAAACTGAGCGACTTACACCAGACGAGCGATGATTTTCAGCGGACAAATCAGTAACGTAACATTCTAACTTCTGCCTGACATTCTAGTGGTAGTGCTTATTACCATAATGTTTATTTAAGAAAGAAATGTATTTATTAGCATGTAAGTTGTATGTTCTTGTTGGTTGTCCAAATAAATAAAATAAAATAATGTTAACTTCATAATAGATATTTTTGAGGTGTTTTGGGGTTGATCCGAAAATGGGTTAAATAAGAAAATTTAAAAAGAAAAACAATCCTAGCGATATTTTCCTTATCGGCAACATTAAGAAAATTAAAAAAAAAACAATCCTAGCGATATTTTCTTTATTGGCAACATTATTCTAGAGGCCATCTTTGTTGTCTTGCCCGCATTAGTTTAATTGTTAGTTAATTTGTTCTGCGCGGAGTGTTTTCGCGCCATATTTACTGACTCGTAATAACCCCAACACAGTTTTCTCGGATTTCTGGTAAGTTATTAAAATTTGTATATGTTATTTTTTTAGATTACTAGCTGTTACCCGCGACTTCGTCCGCGTGGAATAGTATCTTTGGGTAGCATTTTTAATTATTTTATAAGAATCATTAGTAGGTATATTTAAAAAAAATAAAAAAATATTTGTTTACAGTAAGTATAAGGTACCTATGTATTCCATTGAGTGGCAGAAAGTACCTAGGAAAATTTATTGGTCCCTTATGTCCAAGAGACACTTACAGGGGTCAGCGTCACGTTGTGTACAAAAATATTTTAAAATGACCTAATTTAAAACATTTTTGTACACAACGTTTGCTGTTTTGTTATTATTTGTTAAAATGTGGAGTTTGGACTCGACACTCGCGAGCAGGCAACGTACAGTTGGCCATGCGAAAAACAGTTTTTCTCTAAATTGACACCTGCTACTTTAAGTGTTTGCCCTTGCGCTTTGTTAATGGTCATTGCGAAGACTGGTTTGAGAGGAAACTCGATTCTTTTAAACTGAAAAGGTAAATCTGTAGGGATCATGGGTATGCGGGGAATCAAAACTTCTTCATCTTTAGCTATTCCTGTCATTATAATTGCTCTAATAATATTGCGTCCTAGCTGCGTAATTTGTAATCGAGTCCCGTTGCATAGTCTCGGCGCTTCGAGATTTCTCATTAACAAAACTGGAACCCCAATTTTCAGTCTCAGCTTATGTTACAGCTCTAAAGAGTTTAGAAACTCTGTAGGATAAGATGTCACCTGTTCACTGTCCATGACAATATCTACTGACAAATATTCGACAACATCGCCTTGCACATGTGACATCATTTGTTCATTGATCTGTCCCACGATTTCATTGGTCGGTGCTAATATTGCCCTTTCACACAGCCACTCTCTATTCCTCATGTTATATTCCAAACCGGGATAGACGTTCTTTTTAAGATCTTCCAAGTTGTGGACAGCATTACAAAATTCTTGATTTAATGTAATCATGCCGTTAGCGTCCGTAGTCATTCGACCTTCACCGATTTTCAATAGAGCAGTTGCATATTGCCCCGATTGCGTATCATTATGTAGTTGTACTCGCATGTTTTTAGTGAGACAAAATTTTTTTACATGCACCCATAATGTAGACGCCTTCAAACATGCATTTTTCTCATCTGCTGGAGTGCCTCTGGTAATGACAGGTAGTGTCTGTCGAAAATCACCAGCAAGCAGCATTACCATCTCACCCATTAAACTCTGGTTGCTTCTGATATCTTTCAGAGTCCGATTGAGCGCATCGATCGCTTTTTTATGCGACATTGTGCACTCATCCCACACCAACAGCTTGCATTGCTGTAGCATTCGGCCACGATCGCTGTTTTTTGTAATGTTACAAACTGGAATTTCCTCATGAGGTAAATTTAATGGGAGTTTAAGTACTGAATGTGCCGTGCGGCCTCCATCGAGCAGCGTCGCCGCAATTCCAGAGAAAGCTACGGCAACAGCTATTCCTTTGTCTTTGCGGATTTGGGCTAAAAGTAAATTTAATAGAAAAGTTTTTCCAGTGCCTCCTGGCGCATCTAAGAAAAACATTCCACCCTCACCATTATCGATTCTATGCACAACAATATCAAAGACTAATTTTTGTTCCGTGTTCAATCGAGGAACAGACTCTGATATTTGTTGCTGTAAAGAAGAGACATTGTAGTCCAGTTCTCTTATTAAATCACTACTTCTTCGATTCTTTGTGGCCAGTTCATTCCAAAATCTGATAAAGTCTTCCCAGATATAGCCATCACTTGGTCTTCAATCTTCGGTCGACCGACGGCAGCGGCGGCGATGCAGAGTATTCGTGAAAAGGAACTTTAACTTCAAAAGCGAATTTTTTTTAACTTGATACACCCAAAACTTCTAAAATCATGTTCCTAGGTTCAGTGGTTAAGATTTTGTATACTAAAAGTTTGGCTTCGTAGTTCCAAACCCATACAACTTTTCACCCCCCCTTTTAACCCCTTACAACCCCCTTTTCGCAATAAAAAGTAGCCTATGTCCTTTCTCAGGGTCTAGACCATCTGTATACCAAATTTCATCAAATCCGTTCAGTAGTTTTGGCGTGAAAGAGTAACAGACAGACAGACAGACAGAGTTATTTTCGCATTTATAATATTAGTCCGGATTGTTTTTTGTTATTGTTTAAGAGGAACACAACAGCCAAGCTATGTTTTTTTTTATTTCGGAATAACCCCGAGTTCAGGTGGTTCTCAATCTATAATACAAAAACTACAATTTTGTTTCATACTTTATATTATTTTACTTAGGTATACACCACTTCTTTTAAATAACCGAATAAAATAAAATTGGATATGCAAAAAAGTATGTCAAATAGATAAAAAATATATTCTAATTATTTTCATAAAATAATGTTTTATTCAATAATGTTGAATTCGTGTTTTAAGTTGTATGGTATTATCACTGCTCAGCCTTAATTTCATCAATATCGCAATTCTTACGCTAGCCAAAATTATTTCCTTTTATTATTATTATAAAAACATAGTTTTTCAAAACAATCATGCCCCGAAATTATACAAGAAAAAGAATTAAAATAATAACTCCACAAGACTTAGCTGAAGCTATCGAAAAAGTAAAAAATGGACAACTTACGCAGTATAACGCAGCCCATCAGTATAACATTCCCGTGACGACCCTACATGATCATATTAAAGAAAGTATAGCCAGCAGACCAAATGCAGTTAGACCAACTGTTATACCATTAGAAGACGAAAAAAAATTAGCCGAATCTATCATTGTTATGGAGAAATGGGGTTTAAAAAAGCATATTATTTCAGTAAAATTGAGTTGATTTTGCCTAAATGATTGATTTTCATTCTGAAATCCCATAGTAATAGTGTCTAAGAAGTAAAAGTTAGAATGCTTAATATGCGGTGAAGGCATGCACCTCCATCCTACTCCAAGTACTTTGGATGAGGTCTAAAATGTTGAGCACAACAATACTTTCTTGATATCATCTTGGGGTAATTCCGACATAATAAAGTATAGTGCAGTCATTTTAAAGGGAAAAATACGGTCTTACCTCCGATTTTTTTTACTGTGAACCGATTTGCATGAAATTTTGGAATTAGGCTCATCTTACCCTTAACTTCTAAAGTGAAAATGATCTGAACTCCGCCTATAATTTTAAGGGGTGTAAACAACCCCTTAATGGAAAAATTGACGTTGAGCCATTTTATCGCTAGAAAACATGTCTAATTAGTAAGTGGTGAAATTGTAAAGTATTTTCTAACATAATTGCCTCATATTAAAATCATTTTCAACCCCTTGAAAATCTTAAAACCCTTGCAGACAAGCCCTAAATTGAAAAAATCACAAAAAATACTTTGGTATGACATAAAAAGATGTAAGTATAGAGTAAGTAATATTTTATATTCTCTATAATAATTATCAAATTTTTAACCCCCCTTTTGGATAATATAATTTTATGGCACACTTTTAATAAGATATTATTAAAAAAACAGGTTTTTTATCTACTTACATTTTTTTATTAAACAAAATGTATTGAAATTGGGTGTCTAGTTAAAATATTATATTAAACACGTGCTCATTCCTTTGCAGACGGAAAAATACTGGTCACATTATAACGTTAGCACCCACTAAATAGAGATTCTATTTCTATTTTGTTGGTAGATTTTCTTAATGTGCGGTAAACACAAAAGTAACAGCATGAAGTTGGTCGCTAATTAATTTTTGTGTTACAGTGATGCGCGCGCATCTTAAAATTTCACTCTCATCATTTTTTCATAACGCGCCTAAAGAAGTATAACTTCAAAAAAAGGTAAGGTGTGTGTGAAATGTGGGGTGTGAAATGGAAGTGTTGAAGTGGGCGTGGGTTGTAGGCGATCTTCAGGGGCGGCTTGAACGGTAGGTCGTGCTACAGGCAGATGGACGGCGCTCCTTGGAGGCAGAAGCGCTCCTGTACAGCCGTCTTAGTTCTTGGCCTGCCCTGGTGGTGGCTGGCGGCGCTGCTGGTAGTTTGGCCGTCGTATCGGCCAGAGGCAGGCGTTGATGAAACGGCAGGAGTCGGTAGAAAGGCGGGCTGAACCAGTTGGAGGCTGGCCGAAGAAGCTGGAGTCCAGGTGCAGTCCCACCGATGAGGTTGCGAGTACGTGAAGAGTAGTAGAGTATTAGAGTTAGGAAGTTGTTTAGAGAGCCAATAGGTGCTAAAAAGCTTTGAGGTCTTTCTCGAGTCCCGGGGCAGTCGGCCCCGGGACAAGGCCTTTTATTAATTTAGAGCTTGGTAGCGAGCTTTCAAAAGTTGAGTAGGCAACTTTTGCCGTAGAATTGAATGAATGATCAGGGAGGCTCGGCCTTTTATAGGTCCGGAACCATATGAATTTAGACACGGTTCGAATCGAGCCAAAAAGAATCAAAGTAGGTGGTCTGTGGAGGTTGAATAGTCATAGACGTAGTTGGAGAGAGTATCCGTGTCATGGGTAGCCATGGCAACGGATAAAAAACATTAGGTTGTCATAAATGTCAATAAAATAAATTAATTAAAAATAGATAAAATCGGAGCAAAAATAATGAAATCAAATAAATAACAGAATAAAGAGAAATACCGGTAAGTGTCCAGCACTCTGGAATAGTGATTTTCAGTACAGAAGAAATTATTATACGTAGTTACAAAATGATGAATAGTGTGTGATATTTTTGAAATTATGTGTTTCCAGGAATATATGATAAAATGTGCGAAATGGAACCTATGATAGTCGAAACCATGGCATAATTATTAAGGTATGTTACAATACATAATATAATAAACCGTTATTTTGAGTAAATGGAAGTAAAATAAAAACCAAAAAGTATAATAAAACTTTAAAAAAAATATTGAATCTACGACCTCTAGTCATCTCACATAAAGGAGTTGTCCCAGATACGCCCCAAAGTCGTTTCATATTTGTATAACGAAATATACCAGGAGACCTAATAAGACCATATATGAAAAAACATAATAAGAATTTTACATTTCTAACGCAAAAAACTGAAACCTCCTATCTAGAGGGGTTTATGAATATAAAAATAAAAAACACTTCGAATTAGCCAAATCCAAGGTCAAACCACACAAGCAATGAGCTTTTTATTTTAAACTTCTTCGCTATATATAAAGGCAAAGGAATTCTGTTCATTGAGCCAAGTCCATAGTTTTATTTTTTTTGTTTTGCTTTACTTAAAAACAAACTTCCAATTTATTTCATTTAATTAATAACATGTAGTTTAATTTCTGTTATTATTGTATCATTAATTATAAAAACACACGATTGTGTGATAAATTACATTTTAATCCAAATTAATTAATAAATACAATACTAAAGAGTTGTCTGTTTGGTCATAGATTCTTTTGCCTTCCCAATAATGATAAATATAAAAAAAACATGGAAAAAAATCACAAGCAATTTCGATGTCCTGCAGACGTTTGCGCCTTCGTGATTTTCTTGTGTATTCTCGTTTGTTTAGCGTAATATTCTTCCAGGCTGCGTTAAGTCGATCCTCCGTAGTACTGTTTAGTTTGCGTAAACCATTCTGTGAGTGAAACTTTTCTGAGACAGTGACTCTTTAGTGCAGTGAAATGGCGTTTTAATAATCGTTGTGTTAACTGTACTATTACCTTACGAAATCCACGTATTGTATCACGAGGAGTGTTGGAACTAGATACACCTATACGTGATCTCTTGATATCTTGGATTTCACCTATTGAGGTAAGTACGTATCATAACTAGTATTACATCTTACCTACACGCTACCGAACCATTCCATGGCTTTTTGGGCTCGAAAAAGAAGAGAATAACACTTATTGAATTTAAATTAAACAAGACCAAAAACGTTTAATATCTATTTAGTCACACATATTGTATTTGTCTTGTGTAACTACGTTTTTGTGAAAATAAAATACCAAGCAATAAAATTCTATACACGCACACACACAAATGGTTTCCACTTTTTACCTAAACTGCAAGGTCATCCGCCCTGTCAACAAACATTTGACATGATTTCAGGTACCAGATTTGCCCATGTCAACTCTTTGTTGACATGGGTTGGAGCAGTTGAGAGGCCCCAATTTATCGAGGGAATCTTATCCCGCTTACTCTTAGGCCTGTATTGGTGCGTTTATCTCGTTATAAAATAAAGATCCAAAATCAATTTCTTAAAAGTTTATAATGTATGAACACAGATCACACTGTTACCAGATTTTCTTTATCTCTATATGTATAAAAATCAATCGTGGTTCGTTTGTCTCGCTAAAACTCGAGAACGGCTGGGCCGATTTAGCTGATTTTGGTTTTGTAATGTTTGTCGCAGTCCAGGGAAGGTTTAAAAGGTGAGAAAAATTTAAAAAAAATGGCGAAACAGTGTTCGCTGGGTCAGGTAGTATGTAATAAAATGGTTGATTCCACATTTTAGGAAAAGTTCTTTAGATGTCTTAAGTTTAGTTTTATTTTATTTTATTCGGGACAAAAACAGTGGTACAGTTCCTATAATCATAAACAGTATTTTGATACAGGTGACGTCCTAAGTTATTGTACAACCAACTCCATTATCCACTAATTAGAATCTACGAAATACATATTTGTGCGCTTCTTTATGAATTTCTATTACGACAGTACCAATAAATAGTTCTAGATAGTTACAGTGGTTACACAATTAGTAGGTTTTTACTATAATAATAGGATTGAGGATATAGACTTATTTAATATGTCTTTTTTGTGTTTAAAACGTTAAAATAAAAATATAACATTACATAAAACACTTGTTACAGGTTTCATCAGAATACAGAGTCTGTGAAGAATGCTTTGTTATTGTTCAAATTCAAGCTCAGATGGATGAACCTTGCCGAAATTATGGACACAGATCAGTATGTTTGGAATGTGGTGTGTCCGTTCTACGAGCAAGAAGCATTCCTATGGGTAGTAATCGTCATGAGTGCACTGTAATACAAGCATGGGTGCCACAGATTCAGGTATTATGAGATAATATAAATATACTTTTACAATACTACAATAATAAATATTATTATTTCATACCCATATTTTTGTTTTTCAGGCAGACCTCCCAATATTTACAAGAGTTTGCAGACCTTGCTGGAGGAGAGCTAATAGGGCGCAAGCAACAAGCACAGCAAGCTCACAACAAGAACTTGATCAAATCAGGCCTATTTTTGTCGACTTTTACATAGCTGGGGCCATTATTAACCATTTTCATCCATTTTTATGTGATAGGACAAATGCAAGAGAAATTGTTGCTAAAGCTTTAAGCAAATTAAATGTCCCAAACTATTTGGGACAGTATGTTACACAGCATAATTTGAATCGACAAAGAGTTAATTTCCGAAATATTAGCGCCCATTTACCTCACCTCTCCACTTTTCCTTGTTTAACTATGAGTCAATTAGAAATGATATCATTGGGCACTTATCAAATTAAACAGGCCCGTTCATATTATGGCGAACATGTCAGAGATGGTGGAATGTTTGTAGTCGAACTAAATTCACAGTTGGAAGTGTCTGAGGAGGAAAATATTAATGAATTTTTAATTTGAGGTCGCATATTCTCGCCATTCAAGTAAGGTATATTATACTTAAATAACATACAGTTCATTAGGAAACACAGAAGATAGTATAACGGGCTGTTACTGTAATTGTAAGTCAGGTAGTAGGACTGTTGGGTGCTGTTCCCATGTAATGGTTGTTATATGGTTTTTGTCATGGGCTAGATATAATCCAGATAGTTTAAGTCCTGCGGCATTTCTGGATGACATTTTGTTAAATGAGGAATAAAAAACTTCAATGATATAATAATCAGTGTTTTATTTCATTACCTTATTACTTTTAAATAGTAGGGAAGGACATTCTACCTATTATAGCATGTATCAAAAACTTATCTTATATTTAGAAAATCATCTAATTGTTTTATGAAGTATCATCATCACCAGCCTATTAATGTCCCCACTGCTGGGGCACAGACCTTACCTATGGATGAAATAGGGATTGGGCCATGACCCACCACGCGGGCCCAGTGCGGATTGGTGGGTGCTAACGACTGCAGATACAGCCGGGGCCAACGGCTTACGTGCCTTCCGAAGCACGGAAGAGCTCGAGATAATAAGTTTTTGGTCACCCATCCAATGACCGACCATTGCGAAAGTTGTTTAACTTCCACGATCGCAGGTCGAATGCGCTATCTACCTGCGCCATTAGGCTCCTCATGAAGTATATTGTCCATAAAAACTAAAATGTCATGCTAAATAAATGGTTTTATTATGATAAAATTCTGTAACACAAAAAATACTATAACTTGAAAACCCCGCTATCTACAGCGCAAAATGATATTTATTCTTGTTGTAGAATTAAATACCAACACAGCAATGCTATTTTGATCAAGACGCATAGACTTTTACTTGTGGGGCAAACAATGTATGGAGCGTGGGACATCTCCTTTCAATCGGATTTACCCATGCAATGCACCTTATATAAATTTATCTTCAGTGTTTTTAATATCGTTGTCAACATTTACATTCATTATTCAATGCCTATTGCGATCAACCCATTTTTTATGAAAAGCTAATATTTGAGGTTATTAAAAAATAGCTAACAAGCAGCTATTATAATAGTCGGGCAGAGTACGAGGAGATTTCAAAGTTGTTCTGAATCGTACTCGAGAGCTTAACGAAGTTCGAAAACCCTATTAACTTGTGTTTTTGTGCAACTACCCGTTAACGTTCGTCGCCGTTAGTTGGTGGAAATAATAATTATTTCCGCAGCTTCACGGTAATGAACTCTCGTTTTCATTCAATCTATTTAGTGGTTTATTTAATAAGTGTCGCGGGTGCAAATATAAATAATAATAAGTAAATATTTCCAACACTCACACCAATAAGCCTAGCCCCAAAGTAAGCACTGTAAGGCTTGTGTTATGGGATCCTAGGGTAACGGATAAAATACATATACAGTACATATATAAGTATATTTATATAGAAATACATTTTAAAAATCCATGACAGGAGTAAAAATGCTCGTATTCATCACACAAACATCTGCCCCCAGCGGGATTCGAACCAGGGACCTCTCGAGTCGGCGACACCATGAAACCCGGCGTACAAACCACTCGACCACGGAGGTCGTCAAATATAACAAACAACCATACGCATTGCAAAAAATAACACATTCAAAAGCACATGTAAGCATTAAGAATAATGTACCTAGTTGTAATTATCAAAGCCTTTGTTCTCACATATGATAGAGAGTATTTTTTATTTGCCAAAATAGGGACGTATCTTATTTACTTTCTTTTAATTAAATATTGCCTTGATACTTTGTCAAATTTATTGATGTTTGAGCTCTTCGAAGAACAAAAACAGGCAACTATTACAATTAACTATGTATAGACCAAGAAGTTCAAAATCTAGTTACTACATCTGAGCAAAGCCTCTTGCGCTCGATCTCATATCGTCAAAAGATTTTCATCTCCTATTTCGAAACGGCCAACTTGAGTAGGTACGAAATATGAGTTGATATATCGTTATGAAAGAATATTAGACATCAAATCTAAATAAAAGAAGTACAACCGATACCGTCCATTATTTAATCAATGAAGCGATTCAAACATGCCTTGACGTAACCTCAAAAATAAAAGTCAGTCAAGTGCGAGTCGGACACGCAAACGTATCTTAGTATACAATGTAAGCTTGATCGAACAAAACAATTGACAACGAGTGCAAAATCATTTTATTTTATTTTATAAGTATCTGTGAGCATTTTAATAATCTACCCGTTTCCGTTGAAAAATAAAGTCTTGTGATCATCCTGTGACAGACAGTCAGCAGTGGCTTATATTCCGTTTGTCAAACTTTCAGCACGGAACACTTTAAAGATAACCTGATGATGTCACAGCTCGTGTGCGAATAGCACATTAATCATGGCGACCCATCAGTGCATGCAGTGCAAACAATGCATAGGATAATAATAACCAATAGACTGCATTATGGCTGACAACGTGAACAACTCGACGCAAGCGACTCGTTACAGCCTCTTTGACTGCTCGCGCATTTAAAGGAAAAAAATATTGTCTACTAATAGGGAAGATGCAAATATAATATTTATGAAAAATTTATGATTAAAATGTTAAAAAAATATAAAAGAAAGGCCACTGCAACGTTTTTATTTTACATAATGTTCTTTTTTAACAATAATTACGAAATAAAAATGACTTGGATAAAACCTATTTTAAAACACCAATCAGCGTTTAGTGACGTCACTCCTGTTATGATAACTTATTTGAGATTTTGGTTATAAAAGTGAATATTATTTAAAGGGAATATTAATTGCGTTTATTTAATAAAAATGGAAGTTGGGTTTATCAAAGCAGACTCCAGGAATTTACCAAGAGTTAGTGTTGACATAGTTGTTACTTTTTTTGTCCAATGTACAGAGTTTTCAAGTGTAGAAATGAAAGGGACGGTAGGTATAAATCATAGTTGTTAAACTTTGTATTTTATTCAGCGGCTTCTACACATAGCAGTTATTTCAGCTCAACAAGAGAATCTTACGGCGTAAACGCAATCGGCTATGTCCAAATTAAAAGAGATGGAGAATTATGTACAGTAAAAAGTCGAGTTACTCCGGAGCATAAAGTACGTAAATAAAGTTATCGTGTTACAGTTATTTTAAATGAAACGCAAAGCTTGGTTCAGTTCTGCCAATGTGAAGATTGTGCCACACATTTTAAACTTTATCCAATTTTTGACGTCATTCTCCAACTGTAAAATTAAAAATATGTTATAGACAGGTTTTGTAAATATTAGGTAGGTTACTAACGCGTTTTTACGTACAAACAGATTCATTAAGCATATAACAAATATATTCGCCGACTTACGTCAAAGTGATCTTCACAGCATCGAATAATGGTCTTTGGACAATAATTGTCATTTCTCTTCGCAGCTTGAAACCACTTTTTTCTCAATTTTGGGTCAGTTAAATTAATTCAATCAAAAGTCAAAAACAATTTATTTGGATACTTTGTTGAAGTAGATGGACACATTGGCACAAAATATGAGTCAACACGGCTTTTTTTCGGAATATTAGTGGTATTGTTATGATCACCTGATGTTGATGGATAGTCCATTTAAAATTTTTACAAAAACATATCTCGAAAGTCGAAAAAATATGCAAAAGTATGAAAATTGAAAGCCAGCGACGAACAAGTACGACCAGTGACAGACAGGAGTGACGTCATCGGAACCATAGGTCCGTTTTCGCGCGAAAATTTAAACTGTCAATTTAAAAGCGCATTTTTGCCGATAAATTGCAATGTTTTAATTTTTTAATATATCGGTTTATTCTACATGGAATTGTTTAAAATGAAAATAAAAATATTGCATCTTCCCTATTGTCAATCACGTTCTATAAAATGGGTTTCCAGGATTAATACCGTTGCAGCACACATTTACAAACGCTTTTATTTATCTTGCAATGCATGTTCGGGTTTTTGCATCTAACACTCAACCGATTAAAGTGAAATTTAGGAAACAAGTTAGTTTGGATAACAATGAATGGTTAGCTAAATGATGTATATGTGAATGACGAGGTAAGGGAAGATGAACATCCCAGGCAAAGCGGATACCCTCCATTATTACAAAACGGTGCTCCTAAGAACGTTCCCGTCGCGGCACGAGGTGCTACTCGCTGCCTTTAATCATAAACAAATAGAACTAGCGCGAGATCAGATGTCGATTGCAAAAAAATAATAAAAACACTAAACTTAATTTTGCATATGACATTTTCAAGATACGTTATTCTGTAATAACTGAAATCTATAACTACTGTCTTGGACAGATTCTCTAAAAAAAGTACATGTTGTTTAGCAGAAATACTGTTAGTTTTAATGGGACTCTGTTTCTAGATCTGGTTTTAGACGTTTGGTTAAATTCAAAAAGTACCCGCTAGGACAAAGTAAACACGGGCTGGAAATTTTACGCGCTATTTTTGTGAAGACGATTAAATAGAAATCAACGAACAGTCTGTCGATGAGAGGCTCCAATTTAATTCCTTCAAGTAATGGAGTCACGAGAAATGCACGGCTTGCGAGGTAATGAAATATTTCTTTGTGACAATTTGCACCTATGACTAATTAATTATGTTTTTTATTAGTGCGTCCTTTATATATTTATATTTTAATATTTTTCGGCGATCGATCCTTAATTAGCCGTATTTCACTTTGATCTATGAGCCTATTCACTTTGCCCGGTGGATTGGGCAAAACGGACAGTGGTACCAATTTTAAAGGGATCAACAAATTTTAACTAAACTACTGATGTTATGTGATGTCTGTTGATTATATTATAAAATATATTAAGTACTCTTCCAAATTAAGTCATTATATTTGTCTGTCTGTAACAGCCCCTTTCACATAGCCCGCCCAAGGGTAAGTAAGATGCCCACTTTGCCCGGCCTTCCCCTACCCCTACATATTGTTCACACCTAATTTCTTCGTACACGGATGAATTGATTTCCATTTACTAAAATTCTTACAATCCAGACACCTCTTTCGCTCCCTGCGCATTCATTGAGCGCTACACTAATTCGGTGTGCTGGTTATGATAAAAAAAACTTTTGACACCACTTTTTTATGTTGTCTTGGTCGGTAAATGTTTTCCTCGGATATAGTCTGCCAACATTTCCAAGTTCATCGACTAATTCAAACTCTATCGACGATCATCTCTCATCCATTCCATCCAAGTAATCTAGCCAACTAAACTTGCTTCTTTAAATTTTTTTGACCTGCTTTGATAGTAAAATTATTAGGTAAGTAGAACACTCCATTGCCGATATGAAAACATATTTTAGCAACATGCCCGGTTCGGAAATAAAATGAGCTGGGAATGCGGCCGAGCAATATTGTCAACATCGCGTCACAACTCTCAACGTAAATAAAATACTTTGAATATTTACACTCTGAACGAATGTTCACTGAGGAATGAGGAATACAAATAGTAAAAATATCTAACATATGCACAGGTGCAATTTACATGCGCTTAAATGCGTTATTCCTTTTTCCCTTTTCATAGAAGGCTTTCAACCCATCTAATTTTAAGTATGCAGTCCAGTTGCCAAACTATGCCTCTGTTTTCGGCATAGATGCCAGCTGCCCTCACTCTGCTGACTTATATATCGAAACTGCTAAGTTAACTTAATATTCATGTCACTGTGGTATGCCAGTGGTATTGTTTTTTTTTAAAGTTCTTTTTAAACTACTGCTATTATAAAAATCAAACCTGTATAAATTAACAAGCTCTATAAAAACAAAGTATTGTTTAAACAAAGAGAATTAAACGTTTGTTCCCGAGTTGTGATTGCTAACAATAGAAGCGCAACAATTTGGAAGCAAATTATTGCTGCGAGCCTAGTATGCGAGTTGTCCGGAATTTATTTATCAACCGCATACGTTGCGCCAACGCAATCACGAACTTTATTTGAAAACTAAGGAAATTAATATACTGGCGGACTAGTAGGTAACTTCAAAGCTAGGTAGCTCGCGTCGATGGAAACAGTATTAGAGGATTTGAGAATTTCATTAAAATATACAACGCACGGAGTTTGGCTGGCCAGAGGAGAGTGTTGTCATGCTGAGCGAGGCACAACGATATGCAAGCGGCGCAAAAATTGGGCTTAGTGTAGTTGTGCGAACTATGTAACAGCACATAAAATATATTCACAGCTTCACTCCGTTCATCGCCGCTCGGCTCAATTTCAGCCACCTACACAGCTTAGCTCTGCACAACACATCTTCGCGCAGCTTCAATGGAAACACTTGAGTACGAGTGTTTAAAGATAAACGCTCCGCTCAGCTGAAATCTAAGCAGCTCCACTTCTGTGAAAACGCACCCAAACTTACAAACGGAAACACAACACTACACTACAACTTTATCTCTATCACTACCTCTCGTCTTTGGATGGGTGACCAAAATTTATAGACCCTTAAACCATAAGTCTCGCCTGCGACGAAATCGAGAATAGCTAACAATCTCCACTGGCTGAGGATGGTTTATGATATACTTTGGTCAAAACATAACCTTTGGTGAAACAAGTTTTGAACGGGTATAAATTAGACTTGCAACGAATTTTCGGTTACTATTCGGTATTCGGCCCATTCGGCTGCTTTTATTATATTAGGCCGAATATCTACATATTATTCGGCCGAATACAGAATACTTAAATAATATATTTTGTCATAGAGAAATAATCGGTAAAATGAAAAATTAAAATCGATTGATTACGTCATCATCATATTTTCATTTCTGTTATATGATCATTTAAGTAGTCATTGATACACAACATAGGTACATAATCATCTTCTGAATTAGAAAAATGGAGGGTTCTATGTATTTGAATTATTGTGGTAATCAAAATTTAGAAGGGTGAGGTTCTCATTTCTTTTATAATCATTTATTAAGTAGTCATTGGTACATAAAACAGGTACATAATTTAATCATTTTCTGTATTAAAAAAGTTAACAGTTTGTAATTCATTCAGTCATTTGATGAATGGTTACATAATAGCAATAATTTAAAGTTTACGCGCTGTTTATGGCCATATCTCAAAAGTTGGTTTTGTCATTCAGCCGCATTTTAGCTTGAGGACGGCAGATTACATTTAGAACAAAACAAAGGAGCGCGAAACAATCACGTCTGTAACAAGTTTTTGGCGTTAAAATCCAGCCGAATACTTTTGCCTAATATTCGGCTATTCGGTCAAGGGCCTCGCCGAATATTCGGTATTCGGTATACTGCCGAAAATATTATTCGTTGCAAGTCTAGTATAAATGTGTTTTTAAAACATTTTTACAGTATTTTAGCTTTGGTACTGTAAGATCCCGAATACTTTAATAAATGGAAAGATAACTATCAAATTTTTACTGCTGCTCATGAGTACGGGTGTATCTTATAACAAATGCCTAGAATATTTTATTCAACACTATAATTATAAGCACATACCAAAATGTTTGGAATTCCTTTGCTCCTGAACTAATGTTAATGATTTAAGGAATGGAATCCGCCGATGTGCAGATTATAGTAGCTAGGCTAGCATCCTTGTAAAGGGTTCTCTATGAAAAGATATATCAGCTCCGTCAATATTGATTGTTGGCAACGTGTCGATAGATTAAGCAGCTAAGTCCGTATCGAGGGAGGCACGAGAACTCTCATGTTACACACAAAACGTATACGGTCCATTCATCCGTGTAACGAGAGAATTATTTCCTATTGCAGTAAGTGGAACGTGTGTATACGGTGGTCAGGCACGTCGTATGACAGGCGTTTTTGTTGCGTTGCTAATAAGGTTGAGAATGGCTAAACAGTTTACGGTTGACCAGTCACATGGAGGCAAGTGAACTTGCCAAGTTGATAATTAAACGAAAAAAGAATTATTTTCTAAAAATATTTAAAGCCTAATACGATGTAATTGTTATTTAATAATTATTCTGTAACAAATTAAGCTAGAATTGTTCAATGATTTTAGTGGAATTTCTATATACACTTCTGGACACATCTATTGGCCCACCTTAGGGTTTAGATTTCGATGGCCCCTACCGAAATATGATTGCTAGATTGAACAAAAACTGTTGATGCAGTTTTAAACCTGATACATTTTACCATCTTTTTCGATCGTATTGTTTTAAATTTGAATTCAGAATACCATACGACATGGAGCTACGCCTAACAAGTCGGTTATGCGCCTTGTTAAAGACAATTGATTTTTGAATAAAAAACATGGTTTATCAAATAAAGGTTTAATTTAATAACGCGTGTTGCCTCCATGGGCATCTACCACAGCTCTCATACGATTAGGCATAGAGTTTATCAACCGCTCTATGAAATTTTGAGGGATCATCTCCCATTCCTCTTCTATGGCAGTTTTCAACTCCTGCATCGTCTGGGCAACTGGCTGACGAGCCCTAACACGTCTTTTTAGCTCGTCCCACACGTGCTCAACCTAATATAAAATTTTAGCTAGGACCAACCGAAACTTAAAATACAAGGTGGGCCAATAGATGTGTCCAGAAGTGTATAAAGCACAATGCACATATGTTATTTGAACTAACTAACTAGCCAATTAAATACTTTTTACATCAAAATAATTATTTTACTGCAAATAAAACATTTAAATGCCAATTAAATACTTTTTACATCAAAATAATTATTTTACTGCAAATAAAACATTTGTTGAACAATACTAGTGCTAAAATTTATTCAAAAATATACATCTAATTTGTAGTGCATTTTTTCCTCTAGTGCTCGACAAAAAACTTGTTTAATTGTACAGAAATATGATTTTCATATCAAATATACTGATTGCACTGCAAATATACCGATTGCACAGAAAACTTACCAGGGCTTCGACGCATAATACTCACACTCATAACAAAACAACTATTTTTGCAACAGGTTTCCCATTAAGCATTTCAAAATTTGCTCAACATTGGGACACTTTTGATGGTTATAAAAAATGCTTTTGCATATTGGACAGTTGTTTTGCCCACGTAAAGAAGTGCCTGGATGGATGGTAAATGTACCAACCCCCATTTTTCAAAAACTATAAATGCACATTATATCAAGCAAGGGACTTGCGATCTGGCTCAAGTATGTGACTGACAGTGTCGTTATTGAGGAATGGGCCAGTATCCCTCAAGAAGCGCTCTTAGAATTGGTAAGATCCGTGAGGGAGCGAATGAAAGCCGTCTCCGGACAAAGGGGTGTAACAATAGGTAAGTTTTTTTTTGTGTAAATAAACTGTTTTTAATTAAGGCTTAATTAAGGATTTTTATTGTTTTGTAAACTTTACTGCTTTTTTGAACTATTCCAATAAAAATAAAAATTAATTGAATTGTTTTTAAGTTTATTTAATAAGCTTTCAAATGGCACCAATATTGGTGGGGGAAAATGCGTGTGTTAAGGGTTATAATAACGCTTGAAAGTTATATTCGCGGGTGTGCGACTTTTTTTACGCTAAGTGTAGTTTATTAACTAGTCATTTACACAGCAAAGTACATACCTACGCATAATGCACGCAAGATAAAAACATATTAAAAGATTTTTCAATCAATTCAATTCAACAATGAAAGTAAAAATAATTAATATACAAATGGGGTCGTTAAAGTGGATTACGAAGAAGAATGAGAATTTGTGTTAGAAATAGAGGCGGCCATATAAAACCTGAATATTATTTAATTGATAATACTCAAATAAGTTATCATGTTTTTAATTTACAAAAATGGTATTCTATTTAGTTTTGAACATTTAGAGCGTGCGCTGCGTTAAGCAGGAGCACGGAGCTGACGTCCTCGCTGCGTAAAGTTTTTATGTCATTTCATAAAACAGCGCTGCGCGGGAGACCCGCCTCACGCTGCACTGCTCCAAAATTAGTGGAAAAACTGGTACTTTTAAGAGCAAAATCAAACCCATTTTTTTTAAACCGGGTAACTTTTCGACAGTTGGTCATAGGATCAAATCTATCAGCATTGGCCCAAATTATAATGTCAATGTTATATAGGCAGACCGTTCTTGAATCTGCCCTGTTAGCCACCGACGTAGAATATTTTATTGCTTGCACGAAAAAGCAGTCGTCGCTATTCTGCGTTTTTTTTCGCTCCCTTTCCAACAATATCAAGACAAAAATAACATCTAATTATAATGGAACTAATCAGTAACTCATCACTGGTATGAGTAAGCAACTGAATCTTTCCCCATCCCAACTCATTGCTGGGAGTTACACATTAAAGAAATATAGATAAGTCGGCTCGATTTGGAGAATTTAGTTAAATTCGACAAATGTTAAATAATGTCCGACAGCCAATGTCATGATAAAGATATAAAATGTAAAATAAACATCCGGACACTAAGTGCTCGTACACACAAAAGGCCGCGGTTCACAGCTCACGAGGCTCGTGGTTTGGCGAGCATGTACGGTAGAAGAGTACTCGTAGATAGGAATTATTAATGGCTCGATTGAACCTCGAGCATTCTACTGTGTACTATTTCCGTTACAATTCTATAGTATAGGTCTAGCACAGGTTTCGCCTAGGCGGCGGCTACTTGTCCGCAGGCTCAGATTAAGCAAGCTACCTCTCTAGTGAAGCTGTTGGGAGCATTGGGAACAACATAATATTAATAAACCAAGGTATTAAGGTGTTTGTACCTTAAAAAGAAAAAATGGATTCTTTGGACACAAACAGCTCCATAACTACAGGACCGAATGCTTTAAAATTTGGTCAGTCCAAAAGCAGGATTTGTAACGTAAATAAATTAAAACGAGCGAGCTCTGGGGCCCAAATTAGAAAATTGAAAAGAATATTGCATACAAATGTGCGTATAAAGTTAAATAAAAAAGGGTGCGTGTAAGAATATGTATTTTTTCCAAGCTCGGCACTATACATATTTTATTTTAGGCTTCTGTACCTGTAAAGGAGAAAACAGAACCCTTGTAACCCCTATTTGTTGTCCGTCCGTCTGTCTGTCTTACAAGACCCTTTACCACGGGAAAGTTTGTTCAGTTTTTTAAAGATGCCTTTGATGTAAGTAGTTGCCAGCGGAAGAAAATGGGTGCTCCATGGCACAGTAGATTGTGCGTCCGTGCGGTCTGCGATTATGGAAGTTATACAACTTTGACAATGGTTCTTTATAGGATGAGTGACCAAAAATTTACTATCTCTAGCTGTTCTGAGCTTGGCGAGCAACGGAGGTGAAAAAAAACCGTTAGGGCGCTTGTTAAAAAGACAATTTCAACCCGGGTCTAAGTACGGTTTTAAACCGTCTCTACGTCTGATTGTCAGTTAAGTGTGAGATAATGGAGGTTTGTTAACGACACCGGCGCTAGCGACGGTTTGGGGTGGGTACAAACGTATTAACCGTGCTCCTGAACAAGCTTAGCCGACACCGATCCGGGTACAAAACTGTTCGGGCGCAAGCTGAGAGATATTTAAGAAATAGGTACATATTTGCAAAAACTATTGCTGTCGCGCATTGGTAAATACCGTGGGATAGGGACAACAGTAGCTTACGCTGAAAATTATTTATAAAAATGGCAAAATTCGAGTATTGGCTTTCGACGTTTTCCTCCTCGAAAATTAGATATATGTAACAGAAATGTTACCCATAGAATAATAAGTAGTTTTTTACTAGGCCTTAATTGTTTTGTATTTTTTTTTTTTTTGTTAATGCTTATTGAATCTCCAAACCAGAAGCCTTTAGTGGTGCTAAAAATTCGTTTATTTTGGCATTTTTGAGGGCTTCTTGTTTCTTCGAAACACAAGTTATCGAAAAAAGAAAGACATAGGAGCAATAATGAGTAAAGTTATATTTTATGCATTAAAATATTAACTCATAGAAATTTCAATAAAACGAAACGATCACAAAACCGTTCAGCGTACACTCAGCATTGATGATACGCAATATAATAACAGGAGTAACGTTTGTTTCAATCAGATAATAATTATGAAGTTAAATGTTTACTCTTCGCTTCACGGTGACCGGAACCACGGCCGCTGATGGAAAATAAAACTGTAGTTAGGGTTGGTTTTTAGCCAGACAACTTAAAAAGATTGAAAATAATATAAAATTCGTATAAATCCAAACCCAAATATGGCATTACATTTAAGAACATTGAAAAATGCGAGGGTATCTTTTTATTAAAAAAAAAGTCAATGTCTGTTGTAGCCTATGCGTGAACTGCGGAAGTTTAAAAAACCATAATTGTGTAGAATAATAATATTTATACAATTATGAACTTATTGAAAAAGTACTTTGTTGTCTCATAAATGAAGAAATAATATTTTGTACTGGGCACCTTAAGGAAGGGAAAACTGTGTGTAATTACGAATTCCTAAAAAGAATAAATAAAAACACAATTTTTACGCATTATATTAATCTTAAGAAAATTGTACTAAATTTTTACTTGTGTTTCCAGTAAGCGCGCTATAATGTTGAAAAGTTTTTGACAAACAATATGGGTCGACGGGATTATGTCTTTTGTTGGTTTTTGCTTTCAGTTAGGCATTTAAAAGTTGTATTTGTTTGGATTCATGAGCTCAAAGGATTTGAAAGGAAGAAACGAATTTCTTTCTTTGTTAAATTTTAATGGCTGTTATGCTAATAAACGGCAAATCATATTTTTAGAGCATACAGACGTACTCGACTTCGTTCATTTACACTTAGTCGTTTACCTGAATTCCATTGGCAGTCGTATTCGGGCTACCGACCAAATGTAATCGTGTTATATGAGTCGAACGACATACAACGTATCTTGAGCTGCAAAGGGTTTCCTAAAGAGTAGCTTGCGCGTCGTGTGAATAGTTTATAGAAATTCTACAAAACGCAATGAAAGCGAATAACTCGACGCAAGCAGCTGTAATACTAAAGAATTTATTTAAATAGAGCACATATGATTTCAAATATGAAATAGTATTAAAATTGCCCTGACTCGCCCTCCGGAAGTACAGTTCAAATTTGTAGGTACGCAACCGGATCATGTTTTACCTTAACTTAGAAGTTGATTTTTCGCAGCTTCAGGGGTTTGTAGACCTAAGTATATGTTTTAATTTATATAGGGTCAAGACAGACAGGCGGAAAACGGACAGACAAAGTGATCCTATAATAGTTCCGTTTTTTTTTTCTTTTTTAGGTACGGAACCCTAACGTTACAAAAAGTTTTCTTACTAGATATTCGCACAATACAAGTTCATACGTATAATTCACACGCAACAAGTGGGTTCAAATAAGTAAACATGTGTAATGTATACAAGATGCGTTGCATCGCATATGCGGAGTGGCTCGACCACAAAACAAGATATTAATTAACCCTAGACTATGATCGTCGGACACCGATTGACAGAGGAATAATAGAGATGTCAGTTCCACTTTCAGTTGCAAATCGAAATTTCAGCTTGCTTTGCTTTGCTGTCAACCATTTTGACTTTGCCAAGCAAACATTTTGGATAGACGTTATTCAGGTGGATGTGATGTGATGTATTAGTGAAGACTAATTCTTTTTCTTAGTCCATCAGGCAGATTATTAAATAGTATTGAACACGTATTTTCTTTATCCACATAATCAAAACATTACAAAGATATGTTGATTTAAAATATGGCATGACGTCACGTTTGGGTACAATTTTTACTTAAAAGTGACCCTCACTCCCAAACTTTGACACGCTTTATCTTTGTCATTTTTCGGTTGATTGACATAAGAAAAAATACGTGTCAATTATTTTTTGATAATAATCTAACTAAATAGAAATTCGTTTACTTAACCCCGCTATCATCTCTTGTCCATCATCGTTTGTTCTTCTTACTGACAGCCCTGGATAATGGTTTGCACCGGTTGAGTAACGAGGCGCGGTCTTTTGAATACAAAAAAAATACGAGAGCTCCAGCGATTTAATTATTATCATTTACCGCGTACTACAATATGCACGAGATGCAATAAATCAATCTTTAATAACACCAATGTATGAAATAAGTTAATTAAAGAAAATCGTAACTATGGTTCGAATCATTAATTAATAAAATATCGGTTCAACCAAACATTTGGTCCACTACTAGTCGTTTCCATAATTGAATAAAACAATTGCACTAAAATATGTGATATTCTTCTAGTCGTAGTTCTAGTCGTACGGCTGACATGATGATGATGTAACATTCTAATAGTATAAGAATTTTGTGAGTTTTAACCTACGTTGAAAACAAAAAATACATATTATCTTTGTATTATTAGTAAAGATACCTACATTGGACTATTTCTACGTATTTTAATGTATCAACGGCTATCACTCACCCATAAACAAGACATATTATTTTTTACATAAGAATAATAGGTACATTAAATTACGTTCCATTAAATCACAATCACTAGACTGTTAAAATCTGAAAATTCAAGTATTATCCAGATCTTTTCATATTAGCGAGCTGTGTCCCTTTCAAATAGATTTCTTAAAAAGCATTTCAGAGACCGAGCGTCAAAACAGTATAAAAAAGTTATTATAATTACGTAAAACTTACTTACTTTTTTTACTTTTTTCACATTTTTAGCACTAGTAGTAGTAGATTACATCAATTTACGCCTTTTTATGACCACTTAACTTCATTAATTAACTTTTAGACCGCTTTCAATACCAAAACTATTCATTACAATAATAATTAACTTTCATAATTTATTTTAACGAAATGTTATTTAACACTTTCGATAAAATAAAAAAATAATTTGAGCCGCTTTATTCAATGGTGATATAACACTGTTATTTAGTCAATGTACGAAATATTCATAAAAGTCGATTATTTGGTTGTTGCATATTACTGAAACGTATAACGGTCGAATATTGAACAGCCAATTTATGAAAACCGTTGATCAAATAATAACTTTATTTTTCTAAGCCTAATTCCAAGAAGTCATTTTTTTAAAGTCACATTTAGTCATATTGTCAAGCCCGCTCAAGTAATTCTCTACTTTCCATTGAATCTTATTCACTAACAAAAACACAAAGGTATTGTTGTTTTACTGTGGCTTCTTCCCCCAACGGGTGTTCCAAGCTCAAACGGAAAATCCGAGGCGCATTACCTCTTTTATTTTAAAGAAAAACGAAAAGAAAATAACTTTGCTGAGATCGACCGTTAATTAAACAAGTAGAACCAGTCTACGAATATTTAAGAAAGTGAGTAGTATAAGCGAACATTTATTTATAAATAAAACATTATTGATAATGTGTGATAAATAATAAAATATATTTTAATGACATACAATTAATTTTATTATCATAGGGATTTATTATTATTTGATCGCCACGGCGGACGTAACGAGAACTAAAAATCAGTTACACATGTGACAATGACATTTCGCACTCGCAAACTATTCGAATTCGATAAGGGTACTTGAACCCTTAGTACGAGCCAATATCGAATTCGAATAGTTTGCGAGTGCGAAATGTCATTGTCAAATGTGTACTGATTTTTAGTTCTCGGTACGTCCGTTATGGCGCTGCTGTTCAATTTTCCATAAGAATTCGATAATGGTTCGTGCTAATGGTACAATACCCTCAAAATCGTAAAAGTGTAATGCAAAACTGTTGGTAATACAATTGCTACTACAAATTATTATTTTATATGAACTTATTTTTTTATAAAATAAATGCTACAAAATAAGTTTTCGTCCACTATTAAAACAATACTTTACTATCTAACCTTATATGAATAAATTTTTAGTTGCATAGGTATGTATAGAATGTAACTGAAATGTAAATAAAAATAGCAATACAAAACATACTAGTACTTATCAAGAAATTGATTGTAACTCACTCGTTGACTTTAGGATTTCTTGATATAGGTAATTCCATTACATTGCTCTTTTTGGATGAGCACCGACTCCATTGGTTCTATTGGAGATTTGTTATCGAAAAAAGACTAATTATCTTATAAATAACTTCTCCGACTCCGGTTTTCTACCTCTTTTTACTAAACAAACAAAAAAAAACACAAAATGTTTTTCAAATGAAAAATTCTTGCATGACATGACAGTTGTGACATTTATGAATGACATCCTAAAAGGGCTGCCTGATCAAGTTTCTAGTGTGACCAGATTATTCACTCTGCAAAATTATCGTGGTCCGATTTTATTAGCCTGTGTCTGTAAATAGTTTTAATATATCTTTGTCTGTAAATTTCCCGATTTTTTTTTAAGGTCACTAATAGTCTGATTCATCAATTTATAGAACTAAAAAAAACAGTTTGTTAATATTAAACAGATCACTTATCTATGCCAGTAGGAATTTGGAAACATAGTTGTTATAAGTTTCATAAAACCAACAAACCAAAGATCCTGTATTTAGTCCAGTTATATCATTCCAGTTTCGATTGTTCGATTTGCAATTAATAGCACGACAAGTTTGACTCTCTACAGACATCGTTAGCAATCTAGACTAAGTTAACTTTATCAATTAAAAGACGAAACTGTGATGCGATACGACGTCACCTCGCAGGAACTTGCGATGGCAAATGCTGCGATACGATTTCGTGCGGCAAAACTTTGGTAAGGATGACCAGACCATACCTTGAACGGTAGTCAGCCGTATTGGACGTGTTTCAGTCATAGTGACATAGATCTCAAATATATTAAGACCCTGCTATTATTGTTTATTAGATATTATAGGAGCAAAAGAAGGTTTTGAGTTTGTCCATTTATCACGATTATGAACGCTGATTGCAATTATTTGATTCGAAAAACTATGGTTTGAGAACAGAAGATTTTTTTATTATTATTTTAGAATGAACATAAATTCTTCATTTATTAAAGAACTTTTGAGTTTATTAATACCAAGTCTACAAAAACGATCGTATAAGGGAAGTCTTAAGAGTAAACTTAAATGGTGTCACCAAGTGTGACGTTTTATCACAGGAATGCGTGATGCTAATCATATCGGAATTTCTTGTGATGCAATCGTGCGAGCTCGCAGATATTTGCGATGTGATGCTAATTCGCAGATAATTGCGATGCGATTCGTTATGGGATCACTCAATGCATGTGCACAATAGTCACTACGTAGTTCCAGCGGTTGTTGGAGACAGACTTGGAGGTTGCTTAGAAGACTATTGACTGTCATAACGCCGGCGTTTTGATCGACTGCACTGACTACATGTGCAGAATATCCATATCTTTCTTGTAATTGCTGCTGCTCCCAAGAATTTATATGTATAATAATATTGAATCTACACTTCCGGACACATCTATCCGCCCATACAGCATTTTAAGTTTTCACGCTCCCTAGTTAAATATAAATGTTACATTGAGAAAAAAGTTTTTACGTAGTTTTGAAGCTGATTTATTAACCATCTTTTTCGTGTGTTATAAAAATATATTTTTAGTAGTTGACCCCGCGTATTTCTTACGGGTTAAAATAATATGAAAGAAATGACGGACCCGAGTCTACCGTAACAAAAGGGACGAACTTCAAATATTCGACAGGAAAGAAGAATTAATTTAAAGTGCAATTCAAGATCCAGTTATATTGTAAAATCCTCATTGTGTATCAACCATGCACTTATGCGGATTAACCATAATTACATTGTTTGCTTTCGCGTGAAACAATGAGGATGACTGGGTACCAAATAAAAATTGATTCCAAACTGTTACAGGTCTGCACCAATTCTCTTTGAACATTATATATATATATATACATATATTTTACGTATGATATGCCTTATTACAAAAAAGTGGTTTATCGTTATATGGGTAGATTTAATCGAAACACACACATTGGAAATGCACAGGCAATTTTTCAACAACATACCTATATTGTTTCAGAAACAAAATTACAATTCTCGGAATCAGGATTGATTTTTCAACTTGATATTCGAACGAATGCTTCGTAATTTCATTTACAAGTTGGGATCGAACACGGACACACAGCGGAGGTGACGTACGTTCATGACTTTAAAAACGAAATGCACAGACCAATTCAACCAATTAAAAACGAAATGCACAGAAATTAGTTTCCTTCATAATTAACCAAATCACAATACACGTTACATTTTTTTATAAACATATTAAATATTCCATTGTGGAATCACTCAAAGCAGGTTACAGTTACGCTATTTGTATAAGGCGATTAAACAGTTCTTTTTATCGATGCATAAAGTTTGAAATGACATTAGGCTTCCGAGTAAAAAGGTAAAGTCAAAGTCAAAACTTTACTCACATTGGAAAAATAATACAACTCTTTTGAATCGCCTATATTTTTTCCCTAACATAATGCGCAAAGCACAGGATCATAATTTATTCTGTACCTACTCTAAGAGCTGACGCTCCCGTTATCGCCACCGCTACGTTAAGCTTTAAAAAGCTTTAAATAAATTAAACAAACATGTAATCAAGTGATTTTCGAAAATTCAAAAAAATCGCTTTATACTGTATTTGAACTGTAATCTCATTAACAAGGAAGAAATCTGAATGAAGCTCTTGCGTTACCCGAGACATATGCAAGCTTTTATCCTGTCTTCAATAAAAATAAATAAATAGGCCGTTTATTATTCTCAATTTTATTAATATCGTTAACGCATTTGGCATGCGATCGTGATAGTTTCAACTTTCGCAATGATCGGTCATTGAATGGGTGACCAAAAACTTATTATCTCGAGTTCCTCTCGCGTAAGCTCGTTAGCATGGTGGACACGGCCCAGTCTCCCTTTTTCATTAATAGGAAAGTCCAGTGCCCCTGCAGTTGGGACATTAATTGATTTATGATAATGCTGTACGTAAAGGGATGGCACTTTTTACATTAGAAACAAATACGGTTATTAGACTGTAGCCTTAAGTAAGGTGAAAGTTACATCCCTGAACTGGCATGGCACTCCAATTCGAGCGTAAAAGCCGCGACGCCCTACCTCTCTTAAAATCTTTATAATGTTCTTTAAGTATGGTAGTAAGTATTCAATGGTGTAAGGGAATTAAGAATAGCCTGGTTGGCAATCTGATACATTTTGTCCAAAAAAGGGTTGATTGAATGTGATGAATAATTTATAGGAGGCTCTGCTGGTATGACAATATTTGTTAAATAAGACTTACACACTTAACACTTCACTTTGTAAGCAACACACAATGTAGTTTTCATTTCTTTTCTAGTTTTGTTGTTGCAACACAAAATCTCTGATCCTGTGATCAGATAATAAATATATATATATATATATATATATATATATATATATATATATATATATATATATATATATATATATAATACAAAAATTTAAGAAAAAAAATATCAGCAAACACGTTCAAATGTAATGCGATAAAAATATCTGATAATAGAAAAAAAAGAGCTGAGTAGGTCACTCTTTGTTACATTATATTTGCAAAAGGAACATTTAAAAACCTTTATCAAGTTACAGCACAATATATAATACAAATGACCTTTTCAAATCTTAGTCCTATCAGTAATAATGTCAACGTTTCACGTCCTATTGTCTTGTGCCACTAAAATTTATTTCCATAGTTAACAGCTTTTAACATAATTGAGGCCACAATTGGTTTAGTCAGAGTCGTCTTTACAAAACGGGTTTGCGCCGATGCGTCATGCTCTTCACATAAAAACGACTCAACGCACACGCAGACAAGTTGCAAGTCAGGTAGTCGGTGGCGTTAGGACTCCACAGAGTGACACATAACTTAAATCCACCTTAATCCGTTAATACAAAGGTCACATTACCATGAACTCTGAATGAGTACTCGATTATGAGTATACGGTTGTCTTTCTTATCAATCTTAATACGTCTTACTCATCCAACATTAAGAAATCTTATTAAAAAGAGTTGTACAAAAAACTTAGTTGAATTCTTAGGAATTTGCGCTATTCATTATGTTTTTCAGGTTTTATGAGGTAAATACAATGGCTTAAAGATCAGTTAAAATGAGTTAGTAAAGGCGTACGGCTAAAATACATGTGATGGTATTATCACTATTGCCATGATCAGCCTAATCTTTAAGTCGAAGCACCCGGTCACGCATGACATATTAACCAAGTATCGCTTACATCAACCATAACCATTACAGACATACCGACCCTTCTCATACAACACCATCACAGAGGCTTAAAAAAGAGAAATATAACATCTCAATACATAAGTCAAGCGCGCTGCAATGTTTACTTTACTAATAAAGTGCAAATAAAGGGGCTTATAATCAAAATATTACTTTGGTCAGGAAAATTTTATTGCGATTGTATAAAAAGGTATAATCCTAACTTTAAAAGCTCGATACACACGGTGGTATACCTATACCTTCGAACATTTTATTTTACTGATGACTATTGAGTTGAAATAGAAAGATGACTTTGTCAGCCATG